ATAACGGAGTATTTGGAGAATGTGTATCTTAATGTCTGATTGTCTTTTTTAAGCAAGTTCTTCTGTTGCATTGTCTCCCTTTAGGTCCAAAAGACAGTACAGGTTCACTAGATCCATGCTGCTCATTATCAACCAGCGACAGGGCTTCACCGGCTGTGTCTGAGCCGATAACTGAGGACAGCGACGAAGCTGACAGGAAAACGGGCGACAGCAACCTCACGGAAGACGTGGAGGACGCGCAAAACGTTTCTGACGCACGTACAGAACAAGACGCTTCATCTGACGCAACTTTCGCCAGGAAAAAGAAAACCCGAACCGTGTTCAGTCGCAGTCAGGTATTTCAACTGGAGTCCACTTTCGATGTGAAGCGCTACCTGAGCAGCTCAGAGAGGGCCGGTTTGGCAGCATCTCTTCACCTGACAGAGACTCAGGTCAAAATCTGGTTTCAAAACCGGAGGAATAAATGGAAGAGGCAGCTGGCGGCTGATCTAGAGGCTGCACAAATCCCAAACTCTACCCAGCGGATTGTCAGGGTCCCAATTCTGTATCATGAAGGACCCACACCAGCACTGGGTTTCAGCTTAAACGGACATCAAACCGTGGGAAGCTTCTCCAGCCCCATCAACTACCCTCTATCGACGTTTGCTCACTCAATGAGCATGCTAAGATCGCAGATGACAGGACTGGTGTAAAGACTGACTTGTCAAACTGTATGCTAATAACACAAAATCACCTCGTTTTTATTAATTGTGCAATAACCTCCAACACCGCCGAAAAGGTTGTCTGCACTCAAAGACAGTCCGCAGAGTCCATATGACAGAAAGTAGCGAACCATCTTTATATGTCGGTGCATAAACTCCGACAAGAGTGCTGCTCTTGCATAGCATAACCCCTAATACAGTCAAGCATGGCAAGGCCTCCAGGGCAGCGGAGGCCGAAGATGAATACTGTATGTTTAAATACACACTTATTTTTGCAAACTTTTGTATTTAAAGTCACACATTTTTCCATCTTTGTCACTTTTTCACTTAATGAATAAATAAAAAAAACCAAGCACAAACCATCAGCATTTGTGTTGTTTGTAAACATATATGTGACAGAAACACTGTATTTTTCTTTTGCTTCTGCCAGTCTAACAATCATCATGAAGGATTGCACATCTATGTATATAGAGAATGAAGTGAATCAGTGTGTTTGGAACAAAGAACAAAGCTTAAAGTGTTGCGGAAACAAAGTTAAGTTTAATGCAGTTTTTGACCTTTTGTAGCATGCGGCTAAACCTTAGCATGATCGCCTATACAATATACTATAAACCCTTGTGTGTCTTTATTAAAGTGAACTAACTAACATGTATATA